GTAGAAAGATCTACTTGCACCAATTGTTATAGTAAGAGTGAATGCAACTCAGAGAAAAATAAAAAATGAGATTAAATTATATTTTATGCGGTCCAATCAAATCACCTAATTGATTATTTTTGTGGACTGAACAAACCACCCAAGCCAAAGTACTGAGCCACCAGAAATGATGATTATGCCCTTTCGAATACATAACATACAAAGCCAGAGGCCCTATCGCTTCAAAAGTAGAAACGAAATTTTTTGCATGGCTGAATATACCCGTAACAAGTAACCTGGATAGCTGATCTATCAACACAATAATTTTGAACAAGAAAATAAAAACAAATTATTTACCCGATTCATCTTTTCATTATCATTAATTGGTATTGAATCTTTCACCGTAAAATTTTTAGATCAATATTGTAGATTGTGTTTATATAAATTCGAGGTGGATACATTCAAACTATTTCTCATCTCGTAGTTCAGTGGACTAAACCGCGGGAAGCTCATTCGGTCTTCCTCTCCTCACCACACAGACAATTATAGTGATGATCACGCCCTCTAAAATTGGGTTTATAAGCAGAGAAAAAAATAAATTGTGGGGAGGTAACAGTCGGATCCCAGGCCCACTTTGAAAAGTAATGACTGCACCTGAGAAGATTATGCATAGTCAGAGGCCCTATCGCTTCTATAACAGAAACAAAATTTTTTGCTTGACTAATGTGGAAATGAGTGGATTTGAAAAACTTCAGATAGAAAAAGAAAAAAAAGTTTTATATATACTTATTTAAGCTTCATGCACGTAGCGTTCAAGGAATGTTTCAAGTTGGTTATTGTTATGTGGCTCGCTATATTTGCAATTAATAGCCTCGATTATCCTTTTTTTAGATAAATATTATGTTTGTTTTTAAGGGGCGGTTTACTTAATCTATAAATATTTGTACATCCGGCACGTCTTACATTCTTCTCAACAATTTTGCTAAGCTTCGAATTCTCAGCCTCAAGCTTGTAATTTCTGGCCTCTATGGATTTCATTTTCGATCATACTTTCTTTTACAAGTAGGCGGTTTATAGTGATTATATAGTATATAGTATAAGTATTGTTTATAGCGCTTTTAACGATTTATATCGATTCCTTATCAACATATACTAGAGAATATCATTGATTTAAATTTATACAGGTTCGTTGTCTATAACTTTATGTGGACTAAGAGTTGTGTGTCAGAGAATAGGCAAGGCGGAAGAACAAGGAAAAAATGCCTCCTGTGAACATGAAAAGGCATGACAAAATGTCACAATTGGGATTATTTTAAATGCAGTTTTATTCTAGTGCTTGCATCAGACAATTCTTGATAATAACTTTCCGAACTACTGTTGACTTATTACTATAGATCTTTCAGAGGATAAAGTATGAGTACAAACAACTCTCCACATTTCCCAATTCACACAGCGTGAGAAAAAAAATATTGAAAAAAGTTTAGCAATTTCATTATCGGAGATCACTATCATATACTATTATAACTATTCTGATCATCTTTTCTTTTTTTTGGAGTAAAATATGTATCTCGAATATACTTGATCTTGAAATGTTTTGCCTTTGAGCTACCCGATTGATGTAGTATCTTATGAAGAGGATTATTAGTCTTCGTCGGATCGGCCTGTAATTTTGCTTTTTCAACGACGTTTTTCTAATATATATATAATATACTTTAAAATAAATAACTATTCATTACTATCAATTAATGCTAATATTTCACCTTGAAAAAAAATAAAGCCTCCAAGGCACTACGGAGACATTTAATATTCATAAATTGTGTCGGAAATTCAAAAGTTGGACCTTCAAGTCCAAAGTACAACCCATCATCTAAAAGTTCTATTCCTATAATCTGACCGTGTAAACCTTAAACAACCAAAGTGTTAACCATGTAATTGATTCATTGTGCGAATAAATACACTTACCAGAAAACTGAATTCCTAGAATTTTTGAATCTCGCACTTCTTCATCAGATAAGTCTCTTTTCAAAAAATTATTTAAAACACCTTTCAGCGTACGTAAACATTTTGACCGGTCATGTATTATTTTCGTAGGAGATGGAATCTTTGAACACTCTGAATGACTTAGTTCAAGTTTATCCGCGATACGAATGATTCGTAAATCAATCTTTCTACGCCGATCGGACATTACATTGGAAAGCGTTTCTCCCCTATATACAAGTATGAAATCAATGCTATTTATTGCTCATGCAAAATAAATGTATCGGTCTTACCAGCGAAGATTTATATATTCAGATGTATCATTAAATATTTCGCTCATTATCGGTGCAATCATCTCAATTGCATATTCGATTTCACTCATTTCTTGGCACTTTCCGGAGTTATCAACAAAAATAAAAGGTTTTCTTAAAAATTTGTCGATTCTAAAGTAAATTTAACAATATTAATTAACGAATAATGTAATTAAATCGAAAATTAAAGAAAAAACTCACACAAAAAAATAAATATTTGATATTTGTATTAACGTCTGAGAGGTATTGCTAGTTTTGATTTTATATGAATAATCTCGGGCTTCATTGTATTTGTACGCGCCACACATCTGATTATAGTCAAATAGACATAAAGATAAGTAAACAAAGTAACATGTACGCATGCTTAAAGTCAGTATATGTAACTTTCCTCTTCAATGGTGCCTATTACATTTTCCACTTCCCCCTCGAAAGCTTTCGGCTTCATATCAATAATTTCATAAACCTTTTTTTTAATATTAGCCCAATCCTTCTCAAACCATGAACACATTCCGTCTTCGAACTCGGATGATAAATCAATTATTGAAGACAATCCTAACCTGTATTTACCATGTTAGAAATTTCTTATCAGTAACTTTGGAAAATATGAGACCATACCTGATGACACTTTTCGCAATTAGGGTTTGCTCTTTTTTGTCTTTTTTCGGAAATAGTTTAACCATTTCGGAAGTCTTACTATTAAGAGCTTTAACAAGATGCCGACCATCTAGTAATTTCCACTTGGAATCTCTTTTACTTTGATCAACATAATCGTCAAACGAAACGGTATTTATATCAAGACAAAATTTTTCTTCCTTATCCGAATTATCGTCTTCATCGGGTTCACTATCGGAACTTACTAAGATATAATGGGGCGGCGGGGTGTGATGCCGAAGATTAGGAGGAGAAGTGGTTACATGAGAGGCATCCTCGGCCGGTCTTTTCTTTTCTGGATGTGTTGTATTCGTCACACTCCTATTTTTAGTAGCTTCTGACGCTATGATCCCATTGTTCTGTATATTCCCGTAAAAGTTAATCGAATTCGAAGCTTCACTAGACATCTTTCTATGTTTACTTTCCCAATTTCGAGCAAGTTTCCGATCTGGTCGAGAACCCTAACGCGTAAAATTTGGTAAGTTAGTAATATTATTGATTAGTGTATTTATCATATCCTCCTATTTTTATCCCACCAGGTCGACTTTGAGCCTTGAACGTAAGACAGCCTTCGAGATTGCCCACGCCCCAATGGGGTTAGTGCCAGGTCAACTTTGAGCCTTGAACGTAAGACAACCTTCGAGATTGCCCACGCCCCAGCACTAACTTCGTGGCTCGCCTTTGAGACTTGAATGATACGAGACCTTCGAGATCCCGCACACGCCACCAAATTCTATAGCTTTTAACTAAAGACAAAGAAAAAACATGAATTTACCTCCCTATATCTTGCAAGCAATTCCTTTGCTCGTTCGCACTTTTGTCCTTCCTCAGTGTTGGCGATGGCCTCAAGAGATTTAAGGTAAATACTTATTTTGTCACTTATGTCATCGAGTTCACAGCAATCTAAGAAGTCTTTAATATCCCAACTAGAGACTTTTCGATTAAAATAAACATGAATATGTTTTTCAGACATAAGTGTAATTTAATTTTGTCAGAAATTTCAGATCTTCCACCATTTTTTTTTATCCACACGTGACCTCAAATAATTTTAGAATGGTAATTTTACTGGCCTCATAGGAGGACATTCGTCTGATTGGCTAAATAGATGCTATTAATAATGTATTGGGTTTATTAATAATGAATACCACTTTTACTTCACTTATGTGTATCGATCTATCTTATATATATTTGAAATAAATTAATTCTTTCGTATATTTATTAATTTATAAACTTCATACGAAGTTTTTTTATTTTCTAGTATATAGTATTAAAGCGATGAATTTTTTAATTTTATTGGTTAATTATCATGGGTGATCACGGGTAGATCTATAAAAATTAGCCAATCAAACGAACTTCTTCCTATGAATTTAGTACTACAAAAAATATGCATGCTTACGCGTTTGTGTTATATGATAATCGTCATGTGCTCCGGACACACAATGCTACGCATTAGCCTAGTTTATTCGATGAGCGGTCACACGAGTTATTATGTCCGTTGGGGCGCAGTAATTCTTGCGCAGTAAGCGACTTATCTCTATTCAATATTATCAGGTTTAAAAATAAATTTAGTAGAAAAAGACCTTTGGCAAGAACTTTTACCGAATATCTCTGTGATGATTGATCTCATATGACCGAACTATACTATGATCGCGAACTTGAATTTATTGCTTGAACTGTTGCAGGTAAGACAATATTCTGTTCCATTTCTATACCATTCGCCATGCAATCCATAATTCCCATGTTTTCCATCGCAAGTAGGGCATGGCGAATTCCACGGCTGAGCAGATACAAAATTATAGTTATCAATCCCTCTAAAACTATTTCGGAATTTCAAGTATGACACGTATTTGGTAACTCTGAATCAGGTTTGGCTTCGAACATGATAGGCCTTTTTTTTCATCGGAGAAGCAAAAATTCTTGAATGCTTTAGGCCCTATGCATTTTTATGCTGAAATGAAAAATCGTCAACAGATGCTAATAGATTAAGTAACGAAAAAAATTACATATATAAGATATGCATGTATATTAAACACATAGATATTAAGTTATATATTATGAATTGATTATAGGTCGAAAACTTTAAACGCTTGATTAACGAAGTCTTTAATTTTTTGTATTCTTTCCGGAATGACCTTTTCCGGATTTTCATCGTACCACACTTCAAGTAGGAAAATTCCATTAAGTTGACAAAGGCATCTTTTCTTCCGATCACGATCAACAATATCCTCAAATCTTTTGATATCCTTATACCAGCTAGTGCTATGAAGCCGATGTTGACTTCCTTGCACCTCCAATGCGATTTGATATTTTTGAAAGAAAGCGTCAAGTTCCAATCCGTTCAAGAAAGGAGGACGATATTCAATTATTGGTTTTTCGTTAAGAATGTCCACAGCTATTTGAACACATTTAGCTTGGAATTTGCGATTTTTCTTGTCAAAGACAGTTACGAGGTGGCTATATTCCGATTTCTTCGCAAATTCTTCTATAATTGGTCTTAATATTGCATTCTTTGCTTCAAGCTCAAGAATTGTCATCTTAATACACTCAAAGAGGATTGGATACCGCAAACCAGTTTTTAATTTTACTATATCAGCCTTATTTTTAGCATATTTTTCTATAATTTGGTTTAAAAGTTTAGTATTCTCGGTCTTAAGCTTTGCAGTCTCATCCTTAAGCTTTATATATTCTGCATTTTTAGCCTCAAGATTAGCTTTTTCGACCATAAGTTCTGCATTCTTAGCCTTAAGCTCAGTTAGTGTGACTTCCTTAGCCTTCTCTTCTAATAAATCTAATTCAGATTGCATTTTTAGTAATAAAAGATGAGTTATTTAATTTTCGAACTAACATAAACAATCATGTTAGTTTAATCTATATCAAATCCTTGAAACATATGTGCAAAAGCAAATCCGATTATGTATACGAAATCGGCCACCAGGTCGCCTTTATTGATTTATATACACACACTTATCCGCCCGTCCATTCACAAATTCATGTTCGGATAAATATCATTATTTTTTCCTGCTTGAATTACATGTTTATCTCGACAATGAAATGAAGTGAATTGGCGGGGATTCTTTATTGGTCGATTTGGTCATAGACCCAGGCTTTGCCTATTCAGCATCGGTCATTATCATCCGCCAATTCACTTCATTTTATTCCGTTCATATAGATAATTATATTAATCTGGGCTACCAAAATCGCCAATTCTGATTACATTCACATCGTCTATATATTCCATCAGCTACTTTTTTGCATGTCTTACAATATAGATGTGAATGGTGATCACATTCGTCACAAACCTTACACCCATGCTTCCATCCTCTAAAGATATGCCACTTTTCGATGTAATTTTGTTTATCTTTACGTATGAGTATGTTATTCGGATATTT